TGCGTCGAGCGGTGGGCGATGGCTTGAACTGATGGCGCACGGGGGGGGACACGCGTGAGCGAAAGCACGCCGCATCACTCCGCGCCCCGCCCCCGGGGGCCAAGGTTTTCTCCAGCCCCGGACCTTCTCAAGGCCGTCCAACATCCTTCGGCGGGTTACGCGCCGGAGAAAACGCGCACAGTTTTTTCTCATGCTCGTTAGAAAGAATGTAGACAATTAGAACCGACAGATCCCGTAATTGAGAAGTTAAGAAGCGAAATTTCCCGCTACGTCTGAAGATGAAGGAGAAGAAGAAGAAAGAAAAGAAAACATTTCCCGAGATGAAGTCGATTTCTTTGTTAGCAAGACAGAAATGATTAAGTTCGACGAATTCCGAAAGGCCGTCACCGAAGTGTGCAGTAAAAATCGAGAGAGAACATAAAACTTCGGGGTGGGGGGTTGGGGTTACGTAAGAAGTATTAGCCTTTGCAAAAAGGACACAGTTGCGGCCGCGTTATTGCCGAGAGATGGTCGCGGGGAATTAGGGCATCCCGGATTGTTAGGACTCGCCCGCCGCCGCCGACGAAACCGCCCGCCGAGCGGCGCCGGTCGCGGAGCGGGGCAGAAACTCGCGCCCGTCGGCATATGCGGCTGCATCCGAACGCGGCGCCCGCCGCCCCGCCCCCTCGCCGCCAGCGGTTTCTTTTTCGCCGGGGCGGCGCGGGCGGCGCGGAGACAAAGCAGGGCTTGCGCAAAGGCGGCGGAGCGGCACGGATCAGTCACCGCCCACACACTGCGACTACACGCTGCGCGCTGGGGAGAACACATCACAAACGCTCCACTCAACTCCACTCAACTCATCGACTTCGATACCAAGCACTCGAGAAAGCTACTGGATTCTCAGTGTAAAAAAAAAGTATAACAAAAATAGATTGGAATTACTGAATTTATAGACATTCCTCATCCTGATGATAAATATGAGTCTGAGTAATAAATAGAATATTTTTGGGGGGAAATAATGAATACACGGTATTACACGCCCACTTTGTTGGGTTGGCGTGAAAAGAGGTATGTTGTGGAATCTCCCACGATATTGGTAACAGCATAATGAATTTTCTGACTAGAAAGAAGGCATAAATATATTTGACGTAACAGTTTCATGTTAGCCTCTTTCATCACTGATCACCGGACGGTCATAAGGAGCCTGCCCACACTTCACATCTACGTAACAGCACCATCGTAGATCAAGAAGAATTTAGTTGAAAATACGCAAACGATATTTGGAGGGATGTGGAGAATAAAAAAGCAAACTACTCTAAACACGGCGATTTGTACTTTTCATTCTTTGACCCTCGCATGATGAACACAATTTGATTAAAATATCGCAAATAAAAACTCGAGCAAAAAAAAACCTTTTCGCGGAAGTGGCACAATATAACTACAGATCGTTTGAGGATCTTATAAAGAAGAGAAGAGCCAGAGAAAGTTCTCCTCTGAAGAGAAATCAGTTGTACGCTGCAGTCAATTGATTTTCAAACACTATCGTGCCACTTTGTGCCCCAAAAACAACCGAAGTGGGCATTCGTAAACTTAAAAAATGCGAATACAAACTTCAAAATTCACAAAATATGAATCTGAAGGAACCCGACAACGAGAAAATTAAAATCAAATCACACATTTAAAATCAAAATTTAAAAAAACAAAAATGAAAACAGAAATGACTACGTGAATTTAGTACCGAGTGGTGCTTTAGATCCGAGGCGGGACATCCGGAAGCCCTGTCCATCCCGCTGGTGATGGCGATGGCGACGGAGATGGCGGTGATGGTGAGGGCGGCGGCTGCTGGTGAGCGTCTGGTGACCGACGTCAGCGTCGAGGCGCGGGGGACCTTAGAAGAATCTGCCGAAGGACGTCTTCACGGTTGGCCGGGGGATGTTGCGCCCCACTGCAAGAGAGAACAGTCTTAGAGCCTCGCCCTCACCAGCGCACGCGAGCAGCCCTGCCCACTGGGGTCGCTCCCGGTGCTACAAACGGCAATTTCAGGCTTTTAGTGCGTTTGCAAACTTGTATCGATACACGTTATGGCCTCAGTTATTAGAGATATTCATTTTGTAACCATATGACGCAGTTTTGGAAACAATGAAATCTCGAACTCAAAGTTCTTCACTATCCATTTTCTCCCCTCCACTTACGAATTTTATACAAACTGCTTTCATTCAACCAATATTTGAAATTGATAATTGATAGCAAAAGCTTGCGTATTATTCCGTTTCATTATTTTAGCTCGAGACAAAATTGATTTCGTAAAATTCTTATAACCCTCTCTTAAAACTTTCTTAAACATTTTACTAACCTTAAGAACTTCTCGTTGTAAAATTAGTTTTTAAATTACAAAATATATGGTATTATTTATATCATTGTCTTATTTATTTATTCTTGTAGAATTTTGCGTTTCTTCTTAAAGTGAGTGAATTCGGTTTGGAAAGCGCGGTCTGCGAGGGGCGCCTGACTTTCGCTGGGCCGGTGGCCGGCATGCCGCGTTCTGGCGATTTGGAGGCCCAAGCGAAACATCCGACGGAAACCGCAGCCTTCGCTCCTGCGCAGAGAGCGGCCGCGCCTTGATCACTCCCACGCCGCGCTCCAAAACCCTCCACAGCCACCCGGCGACAAGAACCCTCTCACGACGTGCAGTACTACGTGTCATAACGTGACGGTTTCGCAAAAAGCAGCCGCCGGGAGCGCAATGGCTCAGAAAGAACAATGCGCTGACGACGCGCTGCAACGCGTAAACTTGTAGTTTCTTTGGGCAAAGAGCGCTGCATGTGGTCAGACGTTTTGCTTAGAGGTTTTCTATAAAAACCGTTTGCTTTAATACTTGCTTCAAGCAATTATCGTCTCAGGTGCTACTGTCAAAGCCTTTCAAGCATACGACTTCAAAAAAATGTGGTTCATGCATTTAAGCTTTACTTGTTTTAACAAGACACGACTATTACAGTTTAAGTAATTATTTTCCTATGAGCATGCATTATTTAAATAATAAAGCACACAAATGTATATTGCAGTGATGCATATTTTTCAAAGAGCCATTAATTTTTAAATAAATATGTCAGAATGAGTAGCCACATTTATATTACTACTACTTTTAAATTATAATCATTGCATTCAAATACAATGTGTCAATAAAATAAGTTAATTAAAACAAGTTATGACATGCATCTCAATTCACAGGGCAATTATATTTGCCTTTGAATCAGCAGGCATATTAGCGTTTTTTGTTTTTTTATTTAAAAACGTGCTTATTACCTAGAGACTGGAAATGTCCATAGAGATTCAAACTGTAAAATAAAGAAGGTGTATGTAATTTAATGTAAAGCCTATACAACAATTAAACACACGAGATCTTCATATTTAAGTCTAATTTTAAACATACAATTTAAAAGTTAATATTATATCATTATAAATTTATCAAATAAAGCAATAATAATATGTCTTAGCTTTTAGATTTAACCTCAAATGTTTAATTTTTTACTTTGTTTTAAATGTTATCTTTATGTATTTACTGTAAAATCATGTCAATTGACTTTGAAATTATATAATCATTTTACTGGTGAAAAATGTATTAAATATTTTAATATTTGTTGTATGAACACATGTTAATGAATCTTTGTCATCGTTCAATGTCATAGTCAAGAATGTCCAATTTGTAGTGTCGTTATTACCAATATCGTTTTCCCCACAGCTTATCGCTGTCGCATCTGTGGTTTTCGTGAAAGGAAAGAGCGGATCGAGAAGCTAAAGTTTAATTAGGTCTCAAAGTACACACCGCTTTCATGAAGCTTATAAAAAAAACTCCAGATGGAGGTGAAAACTGCAACCGTTTGCAGCGACTGAAGGTTATGCACGCAAGAGAGCGCATACATTGGTAGTAAATTTCAAAGGGACTCACCTCTCTATATAAACCTCTAGAATGCCAGTGATAAGCACTACAACATGAACAAATATGGAGAGAAATCACAGATAGGTGGGAGTGGCACATTTTCATATGTTATTACAACCGTTGGAGAAAAATAGTAGGAATCGTAACTACTGTTAGGAAATACTCATTCTTAAAAAAAATATTAAAATATGAAATAAGTTGCCAGCAGGGCTCATGTAGACTTTGCTCAAAAGCACAACTAAATTTAGGAACATTTTAGATTCCAACAATTTTTCTTGCAAACCGTCGGAGAGCGCTGGCCGCCGGTTGTCGGTCAGTGGGTGGGGTTGAGCAACTGGCACGAGTGGCGCTGGTGGCGAGCGAAGCGTGAACGCCGCTTAGGATACAGGATACCGCTCGCTCGATTCGTGCATCGCCTCCGCCTTCCACGGGGGAGGGAGAGGGGGCTTCAAGTCCGTCACCTTCAGCCACCACCGCGCCGCTCCGCGTCGTTATGGCCAGGAAGTTTTTGCAAAAGTGAGCAGCAACGGGGAAAGGAAGAATGCAAATAGAACGGCAGGAATTATTTGCGAATTATATTTTCTTAGCACGAAGTTTATGGCTTTAAGAAGGACACTTTGATAATTACACGTAATCTTTCTCTATTATTAGTCACAGGGATCAAATCCAACGCTATGCAGTTTTTTGCAAAAAGTTGCTCACTTCATTGAAAAAGCTTTCTTCCCTGCGAGTAAATGTAAGTGGCGAAGAAGGCCACGATAGGTCGTGTTTTATTTCCACGCGCCGTTATATCTTTGAATTCACAAAATGTAAGAAAATATTTTACTTATTTACATATGTTTCTTGAATAAAATAATAATGGGAATGAAATAGAGAAATTATCACAATGTTCAGAGAAAAAGTTTCCTCAGTCCTATATATTGCGAGGTAGTCATATCGTAGGGTCCAAATGTATGGTTGTAGATTACATGGAGTTTGTCAGTTGTCGTCAAAGTTGCGGAGACTTTCGCCAGGCCTTCTTCTGAAAAGCAATGGGGCGAGTGTGTCGGAGCAGTTGGTGATCTGTGTGTGGGCGTGAACTCACCTCCTTGGGAGCCGGGGGGCACGAAGCCGTATCCGGAAGCGCCCACCACGACGCCGCTGGTGTCGGGGCTGGTGGGCGACATGGGGAACAGCACGGGCCCTGCACACACACACACCACACGCCACGTCAAACAATATGCAACATAAAGCGTACTCTGGGCTGGCTTGGAAACATTCGTTCTTTTTTTTAAATTACGGTACTCGGTTTTTATTACTCATGATTGCGCTGCTACTGGAATGGAGGAATCATCCAAATGAATTATCGAATATCCCGCATTGCTCAAACCATAAACCCCCTCTCACTTGGTTTACGGTCAGTTGCATTCTTTCACTAAACTACCCAAACGACCAATACTTCGAACGGTTTAATAGACTTGGTCAATTGCTCGTTACTTGATATTCAATGCCATTCAAGGAGACAGGATAGTGACAATCGAGTTTACAAATATAAGTAGCATGAAGAAATGTTGAAAGTTATGACTCCAAATGCCTTTGTCTCGAAGTTCTAAAGAAATAGCTGTAAGTCTGAAGAGTACCAATACTGCGAGAGTCTTGAGAGTTACGACATGCAGACAATAACAGAAATCACTCCGAGACGTGGATCCATCTTGTTTGACGTGCGGGGCAGCACAAATTCGCTTTCTTCGCGCCTGCACTTTCATTTGTTACGCCGCCGTGAACGGGACCGCCGTGGCGAGGGGTGTAACGGGATTGTCGACGAAGGAAAGAGCCTTGCGGCAGAAGCTCCGCAGCACCGCCGCTGCTTTTCCCTCCTCTCCGCATCTCTCCTCCAATAAAAGGCGCGAAAGTGTTACTTTACTCGCAAAAAAGAAGGAGGCTACGCGCACGATAAATCACGAATGCAGCCCAATGTACTGGGTGCTCTTTCTCCGCCTGAATTGCGGGCAGAGAGTAAGGCACCAGTAAATTCTTCCTTGTTCGGAGATATACAAGAGTTTTAAGCAAAAAGTAAGTTTCCAAACACGACTGCACGGGCGTCGTTGGAAGTTGCTTGAAAAGGAATCATGCATGCATTCTCTCTCCCAGCCGGCCGGGAAAAGTCGTATCTTCGATCATCCGCGTTTATTGGTGAGCGCGGTCAAGCAAGACACATTCCCTCCTCGCCCACCCCCTCCGGCGCAGTGCATTGAGCAACTCAAGGGAGAGGACGGTGAGAGCAAGTATATGGGCGAGAATTACTGCAATTAAAAGGCCTTTAATAAGGCCAGGAATAAGAATGAGTAATACAGTATGAAGGAAGGATGCGGCAAGTTTGGCACCGAAATGCTGCACGCAAGGGGAGGGGGCAATCATAGAAGTATTAAAGGAGAAGGAGAAGTATGAAGCAATAATGGGGATGTGAGGTGGTATGGTGGAAGGACGAGTGTGAGAGTCGATGGAAGTATGAATGTACGGGAGAAAGACGAGTGTGAGAGTGGATGGAAGTATGAGGTACGGGAGAAAGGAGAGTGAGAGAGTGGATGGAAGTATGCGGTACGGGGGAAAGACGAGTGTGAGAGAGGATGGAAGTATGGGGTACGGGGGAATGAGTGCGAGAGAGGATGATGAGAAGGCGGCCGCGAAGCCGCGCGCGGCCGTGACCTTCCCGAAACGGTTCCCACATTCGCCGCGCCAGTTGAGTAACCTGCGCGCCACACGTCACTCCTGCGAGGGCGAAAGACCTAATCGGCGCAATCTCGACGGGTGCTTCGGCTTCATCTCAAAGCTCCCTTTTATATAAAATGAAAGCATGCGGGATAACATACGAGTGCCACTACACGTAAGTTTTAAGGAAAAAGAAAGTAAAAGTTAATATATTACATTCAAGACGGAATAAAGAACATTAATTTTATGGAGTTATACTGTTCATTTTGTGACAATATTAAAATTTAAAAATCCAAATCTAGATACATCTTATAGAGGCGAAGAGAAATACACTTAATATCTCAATTGGATTCAGAAATGTGCATAGCATGTGATTGCCAAATATTCATTTGTATTACTACGGTTATCATAAGTTTCATTTGTAAAGGCTTTTGATGATTTAAGAATACTCTGGAGACTTTACTTTTTTCAAAGAGTTACATTTAAACAGTTAATTAAGCATTTGTTTCTTTGAAGGCGGTAATCGAAAATTAACAAATCGGAAAACATCGAATCTCTGAAACAAACAGTATCTGCCGTTCTTTAGCTTTACAGGGTTAACTGAGATGATACTACTGCAAATATCATTCATGAATTAAAATCCCCTCCTTTTCTTCTTTTTTTTTTGGTTGGTTGTGG